TTCCCCCAATAACTGAAACTATGTAAATTTTTTCCCCAAAAAAAAACATTTACATTGCTAAACTCACAAACTATTTTAGGGCACTTTGCCAAATTAAACCAAATTACCCCATAATTTAATATTTTTATAATTAAGAATAAAACTAAGTCTGCCCCCCCAAATTCCTAGCCAGGGTAAGCGTTCTATTGGGACACCCTGGAATCACTATTTTTCTACATGTAAACCACACAAACCCAAAAATTTTTGTAAAAATCCCCATTTTAAACCATAGAGAATAAACTTTGAATTGCAAAACACGCAAGCCCCCCAGACGGCCCTCAACCAAATCTTTCAGTGGCTGCAGAAAAAAAATATGAAGTTCAACGATGAGAAATTTCCCTTTCTCAGATATTTGGGAAACAACCCAGGAAATTAAATCTTTAGAGTAAAAAAACAAAATTTTGGCCACAAAAAAGACGAAAAACCCCAACGTCAAAAAACCTGGGGGTGATTTATGTCGGAGGGTCTCCACCTTCAAAGGGCCAAACATTTTATCAAAAAGCATCTGCTAGAAAAAAAAACAGGAAAAGATAATTTAAAACCTTCAAAACTAGGGGGCCAAAGGGCCCCTGAGACTTCAAGGGCACTTGTTCTAAACTAGGCTGGAAAATTTTCTCACACTAACAGCACCTTTCAAGGCAGGTGAAATTTTCTGACCCCAAAAAATGTAAATAGAACCTTCACAGCGTCCTTTAAAGGAGATAAAAATCAATTTTCTTTGGGGGCGCTCGAGGTTCCTCCCCCGAAAATTTCCCCGGAACGCCCGGCCGGGGGAGAACACATTTATACACCTGGAAAATCCTAGAGGGGCTAGTACCGGGGAAATTGCACACAAAACCCCTCATTCGAAAAACAAAAACTTTGGGAAGAATTAAGAGAACCCCCTACAATAAGTGGGCAAATGGCCCGAAAACTGTTTTAACTGCCTCCCCGCATACTAAAGGGGGGTTTCCAACCCGACCCCCGGGGAAATCTTCAAGCTGGCCCCCGGACAAAAACCCCAAAGGCTGTTTATGACCACCGGGCGTGGCCCCGTACTTTTTTGGTTTTGGGGGTGCAGCCACAGTAACAGCCTTGGTTTACAGGCCCCTGAACCACCAAAAAGGGGGTTGGGCCAACCGGGCCCCCGGGGGGTTGACCCCCCGGGAAATTTTCCAGGTAAAAACCCCTTCAAAAATTTCGTAATTTCAATTTGCCTTAATTTTTTAAAGGTATTAAATCCACCTGGCTTGTCCCCCTGGCCCATACCATTTTCTGCAAAGGGCTTTAAACCTAGTCCCCCAAGACTGCCAAAAAATAATCGCTTATAAAGTGTCAGGGGGGAAATAAAAGGGCCGGGGGCGCGAAAAGCAAATGAAGAATATGCCCAAAAGTGGGGGAGGGTCCAAATTAAGGGGGTAAAAAGTAATTTAAAAAAAAAAATTGAGGGGGAAAGAAGCAAGAAGAGCCACAAAACCCATCGTCAAAGAGTCACAGCGAACCCATCCCAAGGTAACGAGCTTAAAAAAAAAATAAGGGCGGGAGGGAAGGAAAAATTAAAAAAAGCCAAAAACCCAAAAAAATAATGACAGGGAGAAAGATTATTATAATCAAAAAAAAAGTGCTAACCTACAAAGAATCATACAGCCAAAAAGGAAAAGATTAAGAGGGGCTGTATAAACCCCTTGCCCCGGTAGAAAGCGGGCTGCAAATGTATGCCCGCAAAGGGGAAAAAAAGGACCCAAGAATGTGTCCCATGGCCCCACGAAAAAATGCACTTTTATAAAGTTTCCCCTCTTGAAAAGGATCCAGTGAATTTTAAAAAATATAGCCTGAAACTACAAAAAACGGAGGGCAAACTTGGGGCTTGCAAAAAACGGGGAAAAACCCCCGGGGAACCCCCTAGGGGCCCCGAAAATTCCATTGAAAAATGCCACGAACAGCCAAGAGCATAACAGTAACTTCGCAATATTTTACGACCAGGGGGTTTGTACAAATCAAAATGCAAAGTAAAAAGGATACGGGGAATAAGAAAGGTGTGAGGAGGGGGGGGGGGGGAAAAAAGGTGTCTATCCTAATGTTTCTCAGTGCAGAGACAGCTTCCCAAAATCAAAAAGAGGAAGGGAGGGGAGCTTTGGGAAATGGAAGATGCAGTTTTTTGGGAAAATGTTGGGAAAAAAAACACCAAATGGGGAAAAATTCTTGACAGGCAGAAATTTTTGGGGGGACAGGGAGGGGGAAACTGTACTTTTGGGGGGGGGGGGGGAAAGAACCTTTCCCACCAGAAAGATCATTTTAAAGGTAAACGTCTAGACAGAATTTGATAATAAAGGTTTTTGGGGAAAAGTTATGGGGTTGAGGGGGGGGGGGGGGAAGTTGAAAGCGATTTTGGGCCAAAGACCTAGAGGTCGTTCCCGGGTTTAGCCGGGGTGTGGCTCTACGTTTGGGCTGCGTGCGGCCAGCAGGAACAGCCTAGTTGATCAGGCCCTGAACCATCGGGAGGCCGGGCATGGCCGGGCCGCGGGGGCGTTGATCCCCGGAATAAACCCCCAGGGAACCTGGGAAAAAAGGGGCATTTTTGGCTTTGATTTGATTGCAGGGGTCCAGACATTAAAAATAAGATTGGGAAAAGGGGAAGTAAAGGGAAAAAAAAAATTTTAATCAAGGGGAAGCGCTAAACCGGTAGGGTTATCGCCTTTAGGGGGGGGGTGGGAAGGAAGTCCGGGGAACTTAGCATAGATCCATTTTCCCCCATCAAGAGCCCCCACCAGTGTCAAGGAAACCCCCCCTTGAAGGGAAGGGGAGATGGAAACCCCAAGCCCAGGACCGTATTTGGGGTTTGGGCAATTCCCCTGCAGAAAAGGCAAAAGAGGGAGTTTTTGAAGCAGGTACCGAAAGAGGGCTGGGGGCCGTCTAAGGGAACCCTAGAAAAAAAGCCATTTGGGAAGTTACCGGTTTGGAGGGGAGAGTGAGAAACTCCATTGGGGAGGAGAAGCCCCCCTGAAAAAAAAATTTCCCTTCGAAGAAAAAGAGCAATGGTTAGAATAGGCGGGGACACCTCTTTTGCAGTTTTGGCAAAGGGGTGGGTGGCCCGCAGAAGGGACTGCTAAGGTCAGCACACCAGACAGCAAACAAACCCCTTGATAAAGCAAAATTTTTCTGGTTTTGGGTTTAAAATGTCACAATTTTTTAAAAATTTTTGGGGGGGGTAGGGACACCCACTTTTAGGCGTTGCCCCTATGGGAAACAGATGGTTTCCGTTCAAAGCGGGCCAAAAATTAGCCTCGTCATATTGGCCCAAAGGGTAGCGGGTCCCTTCCGGGGGGCAGGAAAATAAAAAAGAGGTCAACTTTAGTGATCGGGGGGATTCGGGAAAACTCTAGTTTTGGGCCCCCAAAGTCTTTATTAAAGGTGCAGAAAAGTCCACTTTTGATAATAGTGGAAAGAAAGATCCACAGCAAAAATTTAAAAGGAAAAAAAGTTCTTGTGAATGGTTTTAAAGGGGTTCGTTTAACAACGTCAAGTAAAGGAAAGGGGCCTGCTTTGGGATTTTTTTTACAGTGACAACACGTGTGCCACTTACTAGCGTGGAAGGGAAAATTTTTGTCCAACCTGGCAAAGGATACCTTACGATTCTGTGATCGGGAAGAGAAATTTTGGGTGGAAATTTTTGGGGAAAATTTTCCAATGACCTTTTTAAACAGCAAAGGGGAGGGAAAATTGGGTTTTTGGAAGTTTCAGAAGCACAAGAGGAAACGAGGCAAGGCCCCTTTATGACAGGGGGAAAGAAATTTTGGACGGGAAAGGGTTTGAGGGGGGCAGTCCTGAGTAAAAAAAAAACCCCTACGGGGCTGTATGGGGGAGAAACCAGGGGTCCCCATGCAAACCCCTGCAGAGGTCAGAAGTGTTCCCCAAAAGGGTTGGTCGGGAAACCCTGGAAATAGAAAAGGGGAAAGAAAAAGTTGAGCCGGAGAAAGGGACCGGAAATAGAAGGTCCGAAGGGGTAGAATTTTGTAGGGGGAAGTTTCTGCCCGCAGGGGGAAAATTAAAATTTTTTTTTATTTACAAAAAAAAAAATGGAAGGGGGAAAAAAAAAAATTTATAAATTTCCAAAGGGAAAAATGAAAAGGGGTTTACAAACCCCCCCCCCCCTTTACTACGTCAAAAAGGGCCCCACTTCAAGGTGCTCGAAAATCGTGCTATCAGCCCTGTCCCCCCACGAGGGCCCCGGGCAAAACCCCGGGCCCCTTTCTTTGACCCCCCCAATCTCTCCCGTATACCCTACCCTTTATGCCGGGAAACCACATTACCTCACAGCCCCAAACCCCCATTCGCGGACAAAGAGGGCGGCCGGAAAACCCCCCACACCACCTTGGGGAACCCACAGGCAGTCTCCAGGATGCCCCCTGTCATCTGAAGGCCAAACCCAAAACTAACCCCCTGGAACTTCAAAAAAAAAAGGAAATTGGGGTATTCGAAAAAAGGTCCAATTCCACGGAAAACCCCACAAGGTCCTCTACAGAAATTGGGGCTGATAAGACAATTTACCCAACTTTTTAAACTTGAATTTCCAAAGGGAAGGGCCCCCCAAAAGGGTAGAAAGTAGGAAAAAGGGTGGAAGGGAAATTAGGGGCCCGACTGAGGAAAAGACCGAAATGTCTAATTTTTTCAGACAAAAATCTCTGCCTTTAAAAAGGACTCACTTAAAGCAGGAAAATGAACTAAAAACCCTAAGTAAAATGCATCAACCTGCTTCAAAAAAAAAAAGCGCCTGGTACATTTTATTTCGTTTTAAATTTCTATAATCAAAAAGAATAAAAAAGTTAAAATTTTAAAATTCCCATTTGATGAACATATTGGGAAGAACTTTTGAAACTTTTTTACAAAACTGTCAGATTACACGAAATGGGAATAAATAAAAGAACTAATTGGTTTTCTCAAAACCATATTTTTAAATTTTTTAAGAAGCCCCCGTATCCTGTTTATTCATCTACGTAGAGTGACACTATAATTTCTGGTAATGGGGCAACGATAGTCTCGTTTCCGAACGTCTCAGTTTCATTAGCACTGTTTTCTGGCTCAAAATCTTCGTTTGTAAGATCACCACTACCTTCATCTGTAGAGTGGTAGGTCTCCGACGAACTAGTGTTTGATGGCTAGAACAAAAATTTCTAGAATTTAGCGACTTTCAAAACTTTTATTCAGCCAAAAACCATAGCTATGGGGTTTAGTTTTACCTACCATCCTCAAACTTCCATTTTCAAGTTAACCAAAAGTACGTATATATACATAGTCACCTCGTAGTCAGGATCCTCTTCCGAGACGTAGTCGTCTAAGTCGTTTAACAGTGCTTGGAGACTCATTTCAGTGGACTCTGAGCCATCTGGTTGCCTTTGCTCCTAGAAAAGCGAATTTTAAAAGGTCAATCTCATTAGAATATGGTACCTTGAGAAATTGAAGAATTAAGATACTTGTGCAACATATGGGAATCTTCATTGAAGAAAATTTCGCTCCAGTGGCTTCATCAGTCCAATACAAAGAAATGAGTAAAGAGAAGAGTTTGAGGTAATCAGTCCCTCAGCCGTTCTTTAGTAAAGATTCCCATATGTTGGATTAAGTGTCTCAATTCTTCAACTTGTCTGTTTTCAAAACCGTTCATCACGCCTTGAGAAATACTGTTAATGCCCAAACCAGGTTTCCTACCTTCGAGGTAACAGCCTTGTTTGTCGAGTCTTTCAGAGCCTGGGCGCACATCCACAGTTTGGTACAGGATACGTAGCAAAACTCGACGAGCCACGACAACAGCTTTGCTGGAGCACAAATCATTGTGAAGACGCCCAACTCAATTTGTGCCTTTGTTTGGGATTTAACCCATGGAGTAAATGGGATTTTTATTTACTGGAACTGTATAATTATAAATGCTAGGTTAATATAGCTGTAATGAAGGCCGTAAAATATCTAAAGTAATGTTTACAAAGTATTTTAGGGTGGTAAAAAAAAAACAGAGCAATTTTAAAGACAGAGTTTAACTTCCTGATCAACTTTAGATAAGTGAGGGTTCTTTTTCCAAGCTTTCATGAAACTACAGTTTACATATGTAACTGAATCCAGAAGGGGAAAAAATATTTAAGAGAAAACTGCAGATTACTTAAAGCTTTTAGAAGAGTCAAATTACTCACCGTACGACTAAAGCAGTGACCGGCATCATTATGAACGTCTAACCGTCGCCAAGATCTCACCGATTGTCTCCAGACCTTAAAGCAGTGTTCCTGCAGGTAGGAGAAACCGTATTAAGGAAAGTCTAGTTTAGGAAGTAAAAAAAATAGTTAAGGCAAGCAAGATTAAGTTTACTCACAATGTCTTTAATGGAAACTGCAGAGAACTTCAGTTTGACATAATCAGGGACTAGCTTCCATACTCCGGAATCTAGGAAAAAAAAAAAGTATTAGACTTAATAAAAATTTATTCTTTAGTAGTTAATTAAAAAAGACTTACCATTTACAGTAGCGGCAGCCTTTTCTGCTTTGCCAAAGATACACTCTGTCATTTTGCACGTAGCTCGAGATATCTCGTAAGTGGAGATGTGGGTGGCACCGGAAAGTGCACGCTTCTTTAAACCAGTGCACACAGTCTCAATTACCTGTAAAAAAAAGTTACCTAAGTTAACCTTATACTGATTTTTTTTTCGAATTAGTGTGGGTCAGGGAAAGTCTTTAAATTTACGTAAAACTTACTTCGTCAGTAGGCTTCTCGAGGATGGGGCAAGAAGTCTTCAGCGTCGTTACTGCTTCCAGGCAGAGTTCTTCCATTTTATTTACTGGGCAAAAAAAAAAAAAATTGAGAATTTTTTTTTTTAACTACATGAAAAGATTAAAAAATCTGCATTCACTTTAATATTTAGAAAAGATTTGAAGAGCTACGAAAGTAGATTATAATTACCAGGCCTTTTGACGATCTGGCACCGACTCATTTTCTTTGATAGGGTTAAAGTTGTTGCTTGGGTAGCATCTGTGATGCTTCCATATAAAGGCACATATGTGCACAAGGTTTTGTGAGTGTTCGTCACCTGGGTAAGAGAGGGGTTTCTTTTTTTTTACCTTAACAGGGGCAAGAGAGGGGGGGGGGCAGGGTGAATTATTCTGAAGATTTCTATATTGTATAGTCATGGGGGAGCGCTAACCCCCAATAGGAATTGTACAGCACTTGTAGGGGGGGGGGGTGATTGAAGGTATCGAGAATTCAGGGAATTTGAGCGCAGATCCAGTTCCCTAGATCAAGAGCCTCTCACCAGCGTCAAGGAACCTTCCCTGAGGGGTACCATGTTTTAGGTATAAGATATGGTGAACTTACAAGTACCAGACGTAACTGCATTACATGATCCATAAAATTAAAACTAAATCTAGGGAAAGTTTAGACTGCGCATTTTAATTATGAAAGGGACAGACTATATTAAATCTGTGAAAGTTTTTGGAAAAAAAAAAAAAAAAAACACTTATAGTTTTGGGGAATACTAAAACTAAGAGTACTAAGTGCCTGGGAGACTATGGGAAGTAAGGGTCAGTTTAGAGTAATTCCTAAGCGGGAAGGGATTAGTGTTACAAAACCTGCCTGGGGAAATATTAAATTTAATGCTTAATCTGGGAGTAATTTTTAATAAGAGAAAAGAAGTAAAGAAAAATAAATGGCTAAACATTAAACATTTTTTTTTATGGAGTTATTAAACAGCTCGGGAATAGAGGCAACCAAGTCTGATCTAAGGAAGGGTAGGATCAAGTACCAAGCGTCAACATAAAGGAACATCAAGAGTAACCGAGTCAATAGCAATGCGTTCTTACACAAGCTTTGCAAAGTAAAAAATAACGTCGTACAATTTACCTAAGTAATACTTAGGGGAGAGACTGGGGAGGGGCAATTACCTTGTCTGTAACCGACCTGACGATCGGAACACTGTAAACCTCCTGTAGGAAGGAAGTCTCTAAGGGCATCACCTCAGCCACTTCTGTAACTGCTGTCATTGTTCCTCTCACTGGCTGTTACACACACACTCACCTACAACGTTGACTGTGCTACTCAAATCCACCAATGACAACGCTGCACCAAGATCGATACTTACTTGACCAATCAGTTTTACTCTGGTTCTCCTGTGAAAGGAAAATTGTCGACGTTCTGTGTTCACTTGTAATTTGAAATACTCAAGTTTGATTCTTTAAATCACACCATACAAATACAATTATATATTTATTCGTAAAATATACATCGTGAAATTAGTCATCATGACTACTAACAGTCCAATTGTCCGCACACTGATTTTGTGTTAATGTGTGTGTGTGTGTGTGTGTGTGTGTGTGTGTGTGTGTGTGTGTGTGTGTGTGTGTGTGTGTGTGTGTGGGTGTGTGTGTGTGTGTGTGTGTGTGTATATATATATATTATATAAATATTTTATATATATATATATAATTATATAAATATATATATATATATATAATATTATATATAAATATAAAATTTCCACTCAACATACATATAGATGTCCCCTTTTAACAAACGGATAATCTTGCACTGTCAGTACTCCTATAAACCCCCTGTGAAAACATTTAAAAACTCCCACTGTCATCACAGAATAAACAAAATAAAGAAGTTCAATTATTAAACGAAATTAACCTCACGTGAAACGCTAAATTCCTATTGGACACATTCGTCTCTCGACCTGCGGGGAGAGAGGATGCTTCTACAGTTTCTCTTGCACGCCACCTGGTGAGGGAAACATAGCATTAGCACCAAGATGGCGGACCGAATGAACCGGCGCATAAATACTGTCTGTATTGAGCTGGTTAGAGGATCTTTAAGCAGCGCCACGATGAACGTTCTCCTGCCAAGCATTATCAGGGACTGTTATGGCATCCTCAATGAAGAGCTGTATGGTGTGGCACTGAGTGGTATGTCAAGGGTCTTCGTGAAGTTCATGAGGGCTGACTTCTACTCTACCATCGTCGACGAATTTCAAGAAAGGAGGATGAATTTTCAATTCGGCAGTGGAAGTATGCTTGCATGATGAGTCAAAATATTTTTTCTGGGTGAAGGTACGGAATGTACCTTTTGAGGCAACAGCATACAGCCTACAAGATGTGTTCAGTGGTTATGGGACTGTACACTCGGCGAGCATGGGAATGTGGAGGGACGGCTCTTACGAGGGGATGCCGGAAGGATCCTTCACATTGAAAATGACCCTGAGGAGGCCGATACCATCATATGTCACATTGCATAGCCATAGAACACAGGCTTTTGTACACTATGCAGGGCAGAGGAAGATGTGCCGTTTGTGACTCTTATGAGCACATGGCGGCACAATGCCCCAGGAGACAGGGCCCTAGGCGTCAAGAGACAGCTTCTGAGGACACGCAATTAGAAGCCGTGGACGTTATGACGGGTGAAGTGGAAAGCCGGGGTAAGGGCCTATGGAGTGAGGAGGTCGACAGAGCAGAGGTGGTTTTGGAGACGTGTGTTACACTACCAGTGGAAACGGGGGGGGGGGGAATATCGCTGTCAGACAGACCGTCAGGTACTACAGATTCAGCTCAGGAAGGGATTTTGGAGGCTGTGCTGAAGGATTTTTTGGAAGAGTCGGAGCATGGTGTGGAAGGTGATGGGAGGTCAGGTGATGTCAAGGTGATGGACGAACAGAAACGGGGTAAGGATGACTTGAGTGAGGTTAGAAAGGAGGGCAATGTGGTGGTGGAGGTCCATCAAGAGGATGTGGTTGAGAAGAATGTGTAGAGGGTAGCCACAAAAGATCAGCGGGGGCATCAGACTGGACGAAGTCCTCACACCATCGCGAGGCCGGGAAGAAGATTGGGCACAGTGTAGAAACGGCAGACCGGGAGGAGGGGGGGAATGGGAAGATTGGGGGAAGGGACAGGGAGGGTTGGGGGTAGGAACGAGGGATTGATAGAGATGGACCGAAACCTATAAAGGAGGACCAAGTAAACTCGTGGCATAGGGGTAAGCCGCATTCTTGTTTTAAAAATTTAGGTGTGTAACTTTCAATGTAAACATCTTAAAACCGAGTCAAGAGGGTATGGTAGAGTGGTTTTGAGGAGATTAGTATGATGTTTGTTTTTTGCAGGAACATAACCATAGGGGGGGGGAGTGAGTTGCTGTTGAAAAGGTTATAGGTTGTTTACAGTGATGCTTTGAGTTGAAAGGAGGTGTAGCTGTGGCGGTAAAGGAACCAGTCCTTTGCGTATCCTGGTTGGAGGAGGGGGGTGGAGGTGGTCAGGGGGGGATGGGTTTTGGGGGCCAGGAGGCTAGTTTTTGTAGGTGTGTCAGCCACAACTAGTAACCTTAGAGTTTAAAAGGTGATTTGTTACCGATGTTCTGGTATACACTTGAGAGGTTTTACCTGCTAATACGGTGATTTGTGGGGGTGAATTGTGTCATTAGGAATGGGGATGTGGTTCTGAGGGGGCGGGTGGGTGTTTTGGGGTTCCGCGAGGGGTGTTTTGCGAAGTGGAGTGGTAGATGTGGTGGGGAATAGGGGATATAGAGTGGCATACTTTATACGTAGGGGATTGAGCAATGGTTAATAGGATTTTATGTTAGGCAGGGAATAGTGTGTAGAGGGTGAGGACTATCATGTTGGGTTTTTCTGATCATCTGCTGTTTATAGCAATTAGAGGTGAATGGCATAGTGAGAGTTTATGCGGGAACTGGAGATTAAATGTGAGGCTACTTAGGGACGAGGGTGGCGCTACAGGTTTTGAAGATTGGTGGAAATCCTTTTGGGAGACTAGCAATATAGAGATGGATTTGCTGGATAGGTGGGAGATGAGGGCTAAAGTTGGAATCACGGATTTTTTTAAAATACAGGGTAAGGAGATGGCGAGGTGGAGCTATGGTCTACAAAATTATCTTGAAGGTCAGTTAAATGACTGTTATGCAGAGGAACGGGTGGGGCGGAGTGAGGACATGGAACGTTTGCAAAATAGGTTGACGGAAATTCACAATGAAAAATTTGAGGCAATAAGAGTTAGGGCGGGGTTGGAGGATGTTTTAAGGGGGAATAGGCCATCGGGTTTTGTACTAAGGAGGTTTAAGGAACGGCAGGCGAAAACCACCTTGGCGTATATTGAGGCAGGTACAGGGGGGAGGGTGGCGGCTTTGAGGAGGGTCAAGGCCTACATTCGTCTCTCGACCTCCAGGGAGAGAGGACGCACGCCTAGTAGCTACACCTGCCCTCTGGTGGTGACCTTTAGCAACTGGAAGGCAGAATGGCGTATCGAGTGGGTCAGCGGATCAACACTGTTTGTATACAGCTGGTACGTGGCACGCTCACTGGAGAAACGATGAATATTTTGCTACCCGCCATCATCAGAGACGTCTATGGTGTCCCCAACGATGAAGTATATGGTGTAGCCTTAAATGGGATGACCAGAGTATTCCTGAAACTGAATCGTACCGGCGTCTATGACAGACTTGTTGACGAGTACCAGGAGAGGAAGGTGACTGTGAACTCGGCAGTGGACGTCGTCTTGCATGACGTATCTAGATACTATACGTGGGTGAAGGTGAGAAACGTCCCTTTCGAGGCGACTGTGTATAGTATACAGGAGGTCTTCAACAGTTATGGTCAAAATTCATTCAGCTACGATGGAGTATGGAAAGATGGGCCATACGAGGGACGACCTGAGGGTTCTTATACCCTCAAAATGACTTGGCTAGGCCTATATCGTCCTACGTCATGCTAGTGGGTTACAGGACGCAGGTTCTTTGTGCATTCCGGCCCGAGAAGGACCTTTGATTTTGTGCTCCTTCAAACATAGGCACACAGTGTCCTAGAAGGTAGCCTATCAGGGCTCCTGTACGTTCGCTTTTTTCTGTTTTAACCTTTTTTTTTAATTTTTTTGTAAAAACAACATGTAGACTGAAATACTGTCCTTAAATAAAAATTAAAAAAAAAAAAATAAAAAGTTAGGGGGGGGGTTGGGATTTTTTTAAAGGGGAATGGGCCCAATCGGGTTTTGAAACTAAAGGGGGTTTTTAAAAAGGGCGGGCAAAACCCCCTTTGGGCCCGTAAATTGGGGCGGTAGGGGGGGGGGGAGGGGGCTTTGGGGAGGGGTCAAGGCCACCACCAGGGAAAATTTATTAGTTTGTATGAAATTTTTTGGGTTTTAGGGAAAAAGGGAAGGGGGGTTGGCGGGGGATTTGGGTGGGGGAATTTTTTGGGGATAAAGGGGTTTTTTAATAGGGAAATTAAGTGGGCGGGGAACAGTGACAAAACTCAAGTAGAAAATTAGGGGTAGAGGGGGTGGGGGAGGCAGTTTTGGGGCTGTCCCCGGGGAAAAACCCCCGGGGATAGCCCGGAAATCCCAAAAAGATTTTTATGGGTTTCCCATTGGGGGATTGTACGGCATTGCTGGTGGGGGTTTTTAATCGAAATTTTAAGAAAGTGGGGGGAGGGGGAAAATCGCAAAAACCCGGTGCCCACGGTTTTAAGTGCCCAAAAAGAAGGAATCCCGATTTTTTTAAATGATTCCCGTGCGATCAATGTTAATGTGCCAAAATTTCAAGTTTTTTGCAAAGGGTTTTTTGGGCAACAAAAAAAAATGAGGAAAGTTTTTGGTTTTGGGGTGTTACTTTAGGGGGAAATTTGGGGAATTCCGGGGAGAAAGAGGGGATGGAAAAGGTTTTTATTGGGGTTTTTCTAGAGAGTTGTACGGGAGGGGGAATACTGGGGTTAGTTTGGGGTAATGCACATGATTGCGGGGACTGAGATTTCTTGGGGGTTTTTGCTTAGAGAGGTTGGGTTTCGGGGGGGGTTTAATGAGGTGGGTAAAACACCCTGTATGCGGGAGGCGGAGGTGAGGGAAACGGGTTTTAAGGGGAAAGGTTTTGGGGTTTGAAAGTGAAAACCGTGGAGAGGGGTTTTGAGGCAGGGTTTTGTCCGATGTCGCGGGTGCTTTTTGCGTGGGGAAAGAATCCTTTTTAAAAACTGTTGACGGGTGATGGAAAAACAGGAGATGGAGGGGGGTGAAAAGGGGGGCATTTTTTGGGAGTGGATGAT